GCACACTGAAGTATCTATCTGTCAGAGGTGCACACTGAAGTAGCTATAGCTGAAATAATAGTATCTGGGCACACACCTCATATGGCTCTGCATTGCATGTGTCTTCACTGGGGAATATTTGAGTGTGCGTGTGCGTGTGTGTGTGTGTGTGTAGGTCAGAAGGTAATTTCACAGTTTGTTCTCTCCTTCCATCTTTATGTGGATTCCAGAAATAAACTGGTCTCTTCAGGTTTGTGCAGCAAGCACCTTCACGTACTGAGCCATCTCAGCAGCCCAAACCACTGTGGAAAGTTTTAGGAGAAAGTGGGGGTTTGGTGAAGTATCAAGTGTGGGAACACCATAGGGGGCAGGCACCCTTCTCAGTGAAGGGGTAATCTCAGGTAACAGGCATGTGGTTGTTCATTCAGACAAGTTATGGCCAGAGGTTGGACCATAATACTATAGTAACAGTAAAAAAAGTGTAGGTAAGTTAACAGGACAGGGAACAGACATCTCTGGGAAACTCAGCCCCTGTGGTGAGACGAAACTTCACAGAAAGCTCTTGTTTGCTCAAAGGAGGCTAGAGGCAGGCAGAGGACACAGATGCTTCTTTTTGCAATAACTGGCGTAACTTCAGAGATTCATAACTGTTCCAAGTACCAAGAGTAAATAATGACTGCTTAGTCATGGATGGAACATCTCTATCACCCCCAACACACACACACACACACACGTGCATGCATGCACATATATACACATGCACACACACACAGACACACACATGCACACATACACACTCAGACACACACACACACACACACAGACACAGACACACAGACACACACACACACACGCATGCGCACGTGCATGGCTCAGGGAATGTCACTGAAAAGAGGGTAAGAGCTGGAGTCAGGTAGGGAACAGAATAGAAAGCTGGCTTTCAGGCATGACACAGTTGCTATATCTTAACCTCACAGTAGCTGTGACCACAAGCCCAAGACAGGACCCATCAACACCCTGTCATGAAATGGGGAGGGGCTCATAGGTGTCATTTACAGGCAGTTCACAGTAGGCAGTGGAGCGAGAGATGTTTTCTTCAGTGGTATTAGCCATTGGTGAGGAATTCACATTACTGTAAACAAACTCACTTATGTTCCTGTAAACAATCCTAACAAAATTCTTTGGGTCACGGACACTAAAAAAGTAGAAGCAGAGCTAGTTGGGAAGAGGATGGGCATCCATGGGAAGGGAGGGGACAAGAAGGGAGAACAGGACTGGAAGATGACCAGAACACAACGTCCAGATGATGGAGGATATACACTTTACCTTTTCTTCCTGTTCTGTGATATACAACTGAGAGCCCCAGATTTCAGAATAAGAGAAATAAAACAACCAGATCAGGAAGAGCATGCTGTGCCCTAGAAGTCAAGGCGGTCCCCAGAAGCTCTGAAACTTCCTTAAGCCTCATTAACTTGACTCAGGGTGAAGTAAGCTGGAAATTGCCTAAAACAAAGGGCACAGATGGAAACAAAACAAAAACCAAACAAACAAGAAAACAGATGCTGACAAAATCAGTTCTCTCTGGTAAGAGGGAAAACTCACGAAAAACTGCACCAGCACAGCCCAGCCTGACCCCATCCACGGTGGGCTCTTAAGAGGAGTCCAGAGTCCCAGGCAGGGATGGAATGAGCCGAGCCCGATGGAGACTTACAAGGTTCACGCCCACCAGGCTGAGACAACTCTGTTACCCACCTGGAAGCACTGTCACAGGAGCCCCCAGAAGGGCCAGTAAGAGGCCTTCTGCAATGGTGACTTTTATGCCAACTTGACACAAGTTAGTCAACAGAGAGGAAAAACTCTCAATTAAGAAAAGGTCTCCATAAGTTCAGGCTGTAGGCAAGCTGGCAGGGCATTTTCTTAGTTAGTGATTGATGGGGTGGGGCATCACCCCTGGGCTAGTGGTCCTGGGTTCTATAAGAAAGCTGGCTAAGCCACAGGAGGCAAATGAGTAAGCAGCCCCCCTTCATGACCTCAGCTCCCGCCTCCAGGTTCCTGCCCTCACTGTGAGGGAACTGTGATTAACCCTTCCCTCCCCAAGCTGCTTTTGGTTATGGTGTTATCACAGTAATGGTAATCCTAACTAAGTTATCTTCTTGGTGGGAAGCAGCCTCGAGGCCCAGCAGGTTGCTGGACTTGTCCCCACTTGCCGTAAGGCACTGTCCTCCTTCCTCTTATAGAGTGTGGTAAGCAGAACTGGACAAGACCCTGAGTCTCATGATAATCACATGAGCAAGTTCCAGTTAAAAAACAAACAAACAAACAAACAAACAAACACCTATCAGCCATGGAATCGAGAGGATTCCAACAGTGGGGACAGCCAGTCTACATGGATGACAGGCTTGTGGACTGGCCAGGAAGTGACATTAACAAAGAATTCACCCCTGGAAAAGGGGAGAGGAGGAAGGCAAAAGCAGCCCTCTGGGGTAGAGAACAGCTATGGCAGAGTCAGCAAGGGACAGACAGCAGAGCACAGGACAGAGCAGAGCTCAGGAGGGAGCAGAGCACAGGATGGAGCAGAGCTCAGGACACATCCTCACAGTGAACCTGGCAGCCCGGACAATGGTGCAGGAGTGGCCAGTGGGAAGACAGCCTTCCACAGAGAGGGGAGCTGGGAGAGGGGAGATGAAACCCAGAACCTTGGTGCAGTCCCCCCGAATGTGATCTCTAAATGATTCAGGGACTTAAATGCAAAACATAGAACCATGATACTTGTGGGAAAACCTTCAGAGGAATTGTTTGGGACCCGAGGCAGAACTGTCAGACCCGACAGTCCAAGGGAAAGCCAGGAAAGGGGAAGTTGATAAACTGGACTTTAGAAATTAAACCTGCTCTTATAGGCTCTGCTTAAAAGGTACATATTAGGAGAAAGCGGCTGGAAATCACACAGTCAGCAAGAGGCGGGGGGGGGGTGGATAAGAAGGTCAATGGTACAACAAATATCCAATAAGAAAATGGGCGTGAGAAAAAAAAAGAAACCTTTTGCCACAAGAGACACACGGGTGGGAATCACGCACGTGAAAACCTGTCCACCATGCCTGGCTACAAGGAGAATGTAGCGTAAGAGAATGAGGCACTGCCGGGAAGGGAGTACAGAGCAGCCTGGAGTCCAACAGCTAAGCGGGACACTGCCACGCACCCCAGCAGCTGCACTGTGGGGCATCTATCAGAGAGAAACAATGAGAACCAACTGATTCTCAGGCTGCACAGAGATGTGCATCATCTCAGAGTCGGCAGAAGGGACAGCCAGTCTAACTTCACTCTTTATAGGATTAGTCAGTTGTTGGTGTGGGTGGGGGCTGGCTTTCTGCAGATGTCTCCTGAAGCGATGGACCCTGGGGCACAGCCGAGCGCAGCCTGGTGGTCACCTGGCTTGCACAGTCTACTGTACTGTGCTCTCACCCAAATTCCGTAAAGGACACGGGAAATGTCTCACAGTAGAAAATAACCGTGCTGTGCCTGGGGGTGGGTGGGGGA